TAGGATGAAGGAACACCTTTCAGATTCTCACAAGAATGTTGCTCCATGCTCCAAAGTTCCTGATACTATAAGAGATGAGATAAAGTCATACATGAATAAGTCTACCACGTCAAAACATCTTGCACAGAAGCAATTTGAGGACAGAGTTGATGTTGGATCTTACTACAGGAGTGAGCGCAGCATTAGGGATTCATCTTTTTCTATGAAGCCCATTTCATCTAGGGGTGCTAGAGGGCCTATGGATCATTATATCGTTGACACATCAGAGGATAGGCATCCTGCTACATAAAAGATGGCCCCAGAAAATGCAAGGGAGGGAGAAGAGTGTATAAGGATATAGGCAGATTCTTCTACGAAAATGCAATTCCATTAAATGTTACAACATCACCTACTTATTACAACATGATTCGTTCAGTTGGAGCATTTGGGAGAGGGTTCAAACCTCCAACCATGTATGATTTAAGAACATGAAATTTGAAGGAGTTAAAAAGCACTGATAAAAGCATCAAAGAAATTAAGAAGACTTGGGCCCAAACAGGAGTAACAATTATATCAGATGGGTGGTCTGATATCAAACATAGAAATCTGATCAACATCCTCATTAATAATCCTTATGGTACTGTATTTTTAAGGTCAATTGAAGCATCTGACCAGGTCAAAGATGCTGAATTCATATTTGGATTATTAGATAACATTATTGATGAGGTTGGAGAACATTTGGTTGTACAAATTGTGACAGATAATGCAAGTTCTTATAAGGCTGCAGGTAATAAACTTATGGAGAAGATGAAACATCTGTACTTGACTCCATGTGCTGCACATTGCATAGATCTGATTCTTGAGAAGCTTGGGGAGCTACCTCAACATAAAAATGCACTTACTAAAGCCAAAAAAATAACCAAGTTTATTTACAACCACTCTTGAGTTCTAGCTCTTATGAGAAAATTTTCGAAGAAAAAAATTCTAAGGCCAGCAGCAACAAGATTTGTCACCGCTTACTTGACCTTAGAGAGAATATTGTATGCTAGACAACATTAGAGGCTATGTTCACATCTACACAGTGGTTGAGTTGTGCTTGGGCGAAGAAGGCTGAGGGAAAAGAGATTAGAAAGATTGTTTTAAATGACAGATTTTGCCAAAGTATCTTATATGCCATTACAACCGCTAGATCTTTAGTTCATGTTTTTTAAGGATGGTGGATGTTGAGAAGAAGCATGTAATGGGTTTCATCTACAATGCCATGGATGAAGCCAAAGATATGATTGTCTCCAACTTAGGAGGCAGTGAGGGAAGCTTGACATGCTCTTCATCTAGCTGTGAAAGAAATTCGAGTACATAACAACAAGTACATACAAAGAGGAGAAATTGTTTGTCAATATTGAGGATGAACTCACTGGTGTACATTATGTACAATAAGAGACTCAGAGATAGAAATTTGAAGAAAAAATGATTAATGGATGATGAAGATCCTTTGTTTTGCGATGATATGGCATATGATGATGAGTAGTTTGTAGATAATGACGTTAAAGTGATGCCGTCTGAATTACAAGATGAAGATTTAAATGTTGATTTCTTTGATGGTCTTAAAGCATCCATATCCACCACAACTCAAGAACAAATAAAAAAAGGTATATAAATAATATAGTTTTCTTTTCTTAGATTTTTATTAATGTATTAAACTATTATTCATTATGATATTTTTAAAAAATATTTAGGGAAGATGAGGATAACTAATAATGAGGAGGAGCTGATTGGGTGACATTGGACTCTATAGGAGAGGAGGAAATTGAGAGAGCAGTTCATCATAATGATGATTCAAATAAAGACCCCCTTAGTGATGACTAATGAGTGATGGCAGTGCTAATGATTAGTGAGTTCTTATGTGATATGTTAATGTCATTGCTATTTATCTTGTGCATTTTTACTCATTATTATATATAAAATTTATCATTTTATGTTTACGAAATTTTTTAATTTTAAGGCTTACGCCTCAAATCGCCTTGAGGCTTACGCCTCGCCTCACGAACGAAAAATGCCTCAATACCCGATTACGCAATTTTAAACATTGCTAATCCTAGCCCTACCCGATTTCAGCCAGATTTCATGGTAGAGAATGATGCATCAGGATATAGATAGGGGGCAGTGCTCATACAGAACTATATGCCCATATCTTACTTCACTTAGATGTTGACAGTCAGAACTAAGCTAAAGTTAAATCTATGAGAGGGAGTTGATAGTCATTGTAATAGCTATTCAAAAGTGATGGCCTAACATATTGGATCGACATTTCATTGTCAGAACAGACCAGAGAAGCTTGAAGTACCTATTAGAGCAGAGGATGGTGATCGAGGAGCATCAGAGGTAGCTATCTAAGTTGTTTGGGTATGATTTTGAGATCCAACATAAGACAAGGCTAGAGAATAAAGCAGCTGATGCCTTGTTATATATGTGGGGGAGCTCCAGGAGTTGGCTATTTCAGTGCCACTGATATTGGATTAGGGGGCTATTAAGGAAGAGAGTGTGCATGATGAGGAGCTGAGGAAGATTAGGGTATATCTGTGGAGGGACAAGAGTGGCCAACCTAGTTATTCCCTAGAGGGGGAAAGACTGCTGTACCGAGGGAGACTTGATTTACCATGAGCCTCAATCCACATTCCTCAACTTTTGCAGAAATTCCATGGGAGCATCGTCGGGGGCCATTTAGGGGTACAAAAGGCGTACAGGAGATTGACTTCAAAGTTGTATTGGAAGGGGATGTACAAGGATGTGAAGGAGATGGTGGCTAGGGTGAGGTATATCAGAGGGAAAAAAATGGTCATAGCCCCAGGAGAGTTACTACAGCCTCTGGCTCTTCCAGACAGAGTGTGGGAGAAGATCACAATGGACTTTACAGATGGGTTACAATGATCTGAGGGATTTACAATGATTTTGGTAGTGATGGACAGATTTAGCAAAGTTGATTTCATTCCCCTAAGATATCCTTACATGGCATTGATAGTGGTGGCAGCATTCATCAGAAAGGTGGTCAAACTGCATGGAGTACCGGAGTAAAGCATCCATCCGAGATAAGGTGTTCCTTAGTTATTTTTCAAGAGAGTTGTTCAGGTAGTATGAGATAGTACTAAAGAGAAGTACTGCTTATCACCACTAGACAAATAGGTAGGCGGAGATGGTAAATAGAAGCCTGGACACGTACTTGCTATATTTTGCTTCAGAGACACCTCAATTGTGGGCCAAGTTGTTGGCATGGGTAGAGTATTGGTATAACAGTTCGTGTCACTCGGCATACCAGATGACTCCTAAAATCTTGTACCGAAGAGACCCAGCTCACTTTGTGCACTTTGGGCAAAGTAGCACACCAGTATCTTCAGTAGAGCATAGTACTTGGGAGAGAGGGATAAGGTATTGGATGAACTAAAAAAGCACTTATTAAGAGCATAGCAGATCATGAAGAAGCAGGTGGATCGATGTAGGAAGAACATCCAGTTTGTGGTAGGAAATAGGGTATACTTGAGGCTTCGTCCCTACAAATAAAGGAAGCAAGCTAACAAGAGGAATGAGAAGCTGGCCCCAAGATACTATGAGATATTTGAGAGGATTTGAACAGTAGCTTATCGATTGAGTTTTCCCCCGACCGCTACCATACACCCAGTATTCCACATGTCACAGTTGAGGAGAGCTATTAGGGAACATGCATCCAGTTTAAATTTACCCATGACAGTGACAGAAGATTTGAAGGTGGTGTTGGAGCTATTGGGGTTGAAAGGGGTACGATGGGATGAGGGATCAAGGAAGTACTGATTAAATGGAAGAGCTTACTCGAGTATGGCGCTACATGAGAGTCATACGAAAAGGTGAAGCATCGGTTCTTGTCCTTTCACCATGAGGACAATGTGGGTCTTTGGGAAAGGGTGGTCCAAAAGGGATCGGCCTAGGTAGATACCAGGCGTAAGCCTAGTCCATCCCAAGCAGGTTTCGCCCCCCTAGGGTGGGGTCCACACCTTAATGAAGAGAGAGTGGGAGGTTGGGAGGGAACTTCAAATTGAAGGGTTGGTTGGGCATCTTTCTTTGGTTTGTATAGTTTAAATAGATTGTTTACTCTAGGGTTATGGTGATGTTACGTTATTGAATTTAGTTTGTTCTTAGATCGTGAGGGCTCTAGTCAGCAGCTAGGGATTTGGAAGAGTCGGATCTTCCTCTCCAATTGAAGATCCGTTGTATCTTGTTTGTTCTCTTTCATATTTTCTAAAATAAAAAGATTTGTGGTGTGTTCTTCCAAATTTCTCTTGTGGTTCGCTGATTTGGTTGAAAATTCTCCTACTTCCTATTATTACGCTCACCGAATATGTAATTTCTTGAATCTCTTTATCTAGTCCATCAGTTTAGTGTTGAGGATTGAGTAACCCATAAATAATTTCATGATAATCAAATAGCTCGTCAATTTCAGGGCCTCATGCGATTTTCAAGTAAGCTAGTTTTGCATTGTAAGCGATTCAGGCCCTTTCAAGATTCAACAATTTCATGGACCCAATTTAGATTCACATCATGACATGATTAGCTTAATCAAATGTAAATATGCTTGTACAAGCCCAACTTTAATATGTTCAACTTACGTAAAAATAAATCTTTTAGTCATATCCATAAATGTTTTAGTCATATTAAACCAAAAATCATAATTAGAGATCTCTGATGAGCTGCATAGTTGCGTTTGATATATTTATGATATATAGCATACATTGCAAGCCTCAGATGTTTTAAAGACACCAAAAGAAGTTTATAAAACTGCTAGCCTCATATGCTTAAAATACCAATGAATAGCGGAGTAAATTATAACTTGTCCTTGGGAAATGATTTATCAAATACGAGAGAAAATGATGAAAATTAATAGCACAAAAAAGAAAATATCTCCTTCATTTAATTTGAAACCGCAAACAGCTTTTCATTCAGGAAACTGATGTAAGAACGCAAGAAAACTACGTGGCTATCGAAGCAATGCATACCGACTTGTGGTTTCACCGAGAGAATTACTATGTCGCTGTCAGCGACCACCTAAAAATGAGCAGCAGTATCAATATTAGAATTACTTAGAAATATATTGAATAAAATACTGAGCAGGATGGTCTAGGTTATTTTGCACAAACATTTGTCCTCCCAAAGTAATCAAATTTTCAGAATTAACAACTGCTAATGCTCTACTATCAATTTTAATCATCAAAAAATTTAATCTTACAAGAAAAGTTTATAGGATGCATACAGACAGTGAAATACTTAACGTTAATTATTGGCAAGCTTAACTGAAGCCACACAAAAGTGGATTGAACCTGAACACAACAGTTTTGATGCCAAGACCAATAACTCGTGATCTACTACAAATTTCAAAATATAAAAGAAAGACAACAGTCTAGTTGAGAATTTAATAGGAAAAGAATTAGTTGACTTTGTTTTTGTGTTGTGATGTGTAGTTTCTAATTTGCTTTTTAAGACCCTGCTATACCAAAATTTTGTGCCAAGAATGACAATGGGAATCCCTGCCACGTTTTATATACACCCCTTTCATGGCTTCACAACAATGGAAAATGCACTTGAAAAATAACTCTTCAACGTTTGTTAAGAGTGGTGGATCTTTATTTCATACAACTCAAGCCACAACATTACCAAATGAAACCTTGGAGTTATAAATTTTTCACAAAATTGAAATTATGCTTAAGTTGAGGTTTACCGAACAAAGAATGGCTTCACCAAAAACTTATTTCATTGATTCCTAACTTAGATCCATAAAAGCCCATTGTCAAGCAAATACAATTTTTCACAATTAATATGCCATAAAATTCTGAAACCTTATAATCCATGAATTAACAGTTTTTTAGCTATTAAAAAAGCCTCGGAACAGATGATAAAAGGAGTTGTCACAAATTATTTTACAGATCTTATTACAGATTGAAATGGATAACATCAAGATCTTTAGCCTGCGTTGGTTCTTTCCAATGGCCAAAATATTGTGCCGGACACAAAAAAACAGAATGGATTCCCGCCAAAGATCTTTCACACCTATTATGTAGTCAGTTAACTGGCGTTTCTCAAAATCTACAACACCATATTGGATGAGATACAAAATAGGGGATGAAATCAAGACCAAAAGTCAGCATGCCACGTATCATGATTGAAGTCTAATTTTCCTCAATCATTTTGATCTCAAAGTCTTAGTCTCTTAGATAATATTTCATTTTGATTTTTAAAGGTTGGTGACTATCAAACTAAAGATGTTATTCACATACAATCCTCATTACTAGAATCGCATGTTTCTTTGTAAGATCTAAAGAAAATAAATAAACAATGATAATACATCACTCATTTGTCTCTTTCTTCAACTAGGTGTAGACAATAGAGGCCAGAGAAATAATAAATAGATTGATCAAAGATTAGTAATTACCTTATCGATGCAATATAAAAGAATTTCTCTATTGGGAGGTTGGCAATGACAGCTGAAGGGTGGTCGAAGGTTCTAATTAGAAGGCAGAGACCTTCTCAAGAGAAAATCATTGACACTTAACAAAGTAGTCCAACAAAGGAGGTAGGAGCTTTTGCTCTATCTCCTATGAGTATAATCTATGAAGGAATCATGTTCAGATTTGAAGAGGGAACAAGAGATGCAGAAAGAGAGGAAGAATACTAGCAATATAAAAATAAGAAAAGTAATTTAGCGTAAAAACTTCTATCAAGTATTTGCCTTCAAAAAAGTGGATATTTATCTCTTTGTGGGATTATGGATGTAAGTGAATTTATTAAACAACATAAACTCACTTTATACTCTTTTTTAATTGTTTTTTCTTACATATTATATTTATTATTCCCGTGATTGTCATTGCTCTAAAGCGCCTATTTTTCCACAACAAATGGTATCAAATCTATGTGCTTTGGAACTTATATATAGATGAAAGAGTGATGATACATATAAATGGCACAAAATAGCGAGTATCATAATGCATGGTGCAGCGTGACACACCCCGAACACCACTTTCTTTGTGCAACACACTAATTCAAAATGGGCTTTCGCGCCATATAGGAACAATATTGATTGGTGCAAAGTGCGCATATGCTATTTTTTAGGCTTTTAAATTTTAAATTATTATTTATGATTATATTTTTTTATTTTGGCATTTATTTTATAACTTGATAGCCCTTGTCCTTGTGTATATAATCAACACAAAAATATGAGAACGATCCAAGCTTCCGCGAATAATAGCATCTCAACTCCCTCTCACAGCGCATTCTCGCGACATCATACAGGCAATTTATCAAGTCAAATGGCAAAATCAAGTGTTCGGAGGCTAAGTATAGGTAAGTCAAACATATCACATATTATTTCCATCTCTGGTGGCTTGGAACAAATCATGTCTACTCTCCTCAAGGTGGCAGCTGCTTTGAGACATGATGAGTAAACCATTCATAAGTCTCCCACTCCCTCTCAATGATGATGGCTTCAAACCCTAAAGCATAGGTCGCAGCGACACATTTACCTATTCATATCAGTGATGATGGAGTTTAATTTGAACAGTAAAGAATAGCTTGTTCATGTCTCCCTCTCCCTCTCCCTCTTGAGAACTTCTAATAGTGAATAATAGAGTGAATAACAAGTTGAGACTGTCAATGAGCCTACCTTTACATGTAAGAGTACCTTCCTTTTTTTTTAATAAAGGGCATAAGTTATTTGCTGATTAAAGAAATGAGCATTTTTTACTTTTGATAATGAGGATGCCTTCCAAGAAGCTAGTTTAATTTATTGCAAAATAAATAGGCTTGGAAAAATGACTGTAGTATTTTAGTGATTAAGACATTAATTATTTGAACTTAAGCATTACTTTGGTGGTTTTTATTATTATTAAAATTTATCTTTCAATTTCATAATATCTCAACTATCTCCACCTTCCTTGTACCCATCATCACCCCATAGCATCCTATGTCCACCAATTTCACCCCCAATTGATCCACAACCTTGTTGGAGATGATGTTGTGAGTAGTCTCCCTATCTATAAAAACCACCAACTCCATATCTAATATTTCGCCTTTCACCTTCATGATGTGATTTGGAGTGAATCTCAGCATTGACTTCAAGAAGATATCTGTCATGTCTAAATGCAGCTCTTCCTCCTATTCCACCACTGCCTCACTCCCACCTCCCTCCTCGGCTTTCTTGTCATCACATACGATGAGAACCTGAAGAGTTTGGTCATTACACATGTGCCCCGGTGTATACCTTTCATCACATCTAAAACATAGCCCCTTCTCCCTCTTCTCCTATAGCTCATTCTCAGTGAGCTTCTTAAAGTTTCCTCTTGTTCCCCCTCCTTCAGTCTTCTCCTTCGGGGTCTCCCGAGAAATACCCGGTGGGGAAAAAGTGGTGGTCATCATGCACGAACCTCCTGAATTGCTTCTTAGGTCCCATCTCTCCAGGTGTTTATGGTCCTCCACTAACAAGGCTAACTCCATAGCCTCTCCCAAATCTCATGGCCTCATCACTCTAATTATCACCATAATATTTTGTTTGAACCCTTTCATACAGTTTTCCTTCAGTACAGTCTCTGAAAGATGGTCCCTGAAACCTCTCACGATACTCCACTATCGATTTCTCCTGTGTTAGAACGAAGAGCTGCTCATAGAAGTCCCATATCATGTTGGTTCAAAAATGTTCAAACAGGCAGTCCTTAAACTTCCTCCAGGTATGTATAGGCTGTCTCATGTCTCTCCACTGGTACCATGCCACTACTTTCCCCTCCAAGAACAGGCCAGTTGTCGTTAGTCTCTCCTCGATCCTCCGTCAACCCATTGATAGCAAAATTCAGCACCCATTCATTCATACAAAACCCCCTCACGCCTCCTCCTCATACCTTCTACCTTCTACCTATCTCATCCCTAGGAAAGGGCTCTAAAGGAGGTCTTCTCTCTTTTCCTTCCAAGATCTCCATCTCTTGTTCTTCCCGTCTTCTTATCGAATTAGGGTTCTCCCCGCTCCCTTGGCTAATCGCAGCTTTCATCGCCTCTGACGACACCATTTTGGTTGTCCCTTGAGCAACTTCTTCATCATCTCCTCCATAATGGTAAATTTCTCATCAATCTACTTGTTAAAGGCAGAAATTTGAGTTTGAAAATCTGAAATTTCATATTTCAATTGTCTAATCTCCCCTTCTAACACTTTCACCTTTTTTCCCCGCCAAAGGTACCTGAATATAGGCGCCAATCAGCAAAAAAAAAGCTAAAAATGGAGAATCTAGTCTTCAAACTGCAAAAATCAGCATGATCAAAGAGGAAAACGTAGCAGAAATCAGCAATGAAGACTTATATTTTAGCTCAAGAAACAGCTCTGATACTAATTTGATAGGAAATAGATGCAGTTTTAGCCAAAATCGGTGAACAACAATAATAAATTGAAGAAAACACACCATGACTCTTTTTATTACAAGATATATGAAGAAAATAGCAAGATATAGTTGGACCTTCAATTGGTGAAGAAGATCCAGCTCTCCCAAATCCCTAGACGCCGGCTAGAGTCCTCACAATCTAAGAAATTCTAATTTCAGCAAAAACAAGCATGAAAAAACTCAACCCTGGGTAAAAACTACTTAAAACATACAATCCCATAGCAAAATCCCAAAATAACCCTTTCAAATCCAATTCCCCCCCTTAGCCACCCCCTCCCTTTGTTTGCAAACATCTTCCCTGAGCCCCACTACAAGGGGGGCAGGATTTCCCCCTCTTCGCCTATTGTAGCATAGTGCAGGTCCAAGAAGGATCAGCTTGACTGGTCCAAGAGGGACCAGTCTATCTAATCATGACACAAATTAAAAATACAAATTCTAATTAAAAGTCTATAATTGGTTTCTTGTTTTGAGTCATTTCATAACGTTCTTTTGCTTTCCTAGTTGGCTTATTATTATTGGTTCACCATTGTTACTTTGTGACACAACTAAGTGGAGAACCTTAGTGAATTAGACACCAACGCTAGGTAATGAAGTATAAGATATCCTTCTATGTAGTTAAAATGCTCAAGAAATTTGGGCTTTTACATGGAGAAATGGACGCACAAAATAGTTGTCGAACAAAGCTTGGACAGCACCAACCCTAGAACAGTTTTCTTTACAAATTTAAGAAATTTTTTATGGGATCTATAGGTTAAATAGTGGCTATAAACTATTGAAATTGATAGAGAAAAGAGTGTAGATATGTTCTGGAGTTTATAGGATTTTTTTAAAGAATTTTGCAGTGGATAATAGTGTTACGCCAGCAGACAGCTGGAGCAGGGGGCCTCCGCCGGGCCCAGAACCCGCCGAACCCAGCAGAAATCCTGGGCGGCTATTAGTTATGGAGTCCAAACTCTTTTAGCCACACTTATCTCAAAGATGTGGATAAAACTTGATTTTGATTTTTAAAAGTTGGTGGCTATCAAACTGAAGATCTTAATTAGATCTAATGCTTCTGTATAAAAGTACAAGAAATCAATGTTTGCAAGTCATTGCTTATTCTTTTCTGTTTCATTCAGCAAATTAACAAAGACCGAACCTAATAATGAAATAGTAACTTAAATCTAGTTCGGGTATTCAGGCTGCTGGTGCAAGGTTAAAGGTTTTTGTTTGCAGCTCCAGCGAAACAAAATTTCAAAAAGGAAATATACTAATAAGCATACAGAATAACGTTTAACATGCAGAAACCTAGGGGATTATGTTTGCTTTTCAGTGGGAAAGAATTTAAGATTAACCTGGCCGCTGGACTCCAATATCACCACGCCGAAAGACTGGAAGACCGATTGGCGATCCGCCCGATGATGAGAGGTTCGGATGGCAGCCGGGGGAAGGACGCCTGACTTGGCTACCCCGCGAGCGATGCTCTCCGCCATGTTTCCAGCGCCAACAAAACCTAGCTTATATACGTCCGGCGACGTCATCGCCATTGTCAAGAACTTCGCAAGCGCTGGAGTTTTCTCTAGAGGAGAGGCCAAGAGAGCGCCAAGTTCAAGCTCGCTCTTTTCACGTCTGATAAGTTCGAAAATGTATTTGTGCTAGGTGGGCAGAAACCGGCTCGCGTTCGAAATTGTTCACGTCGCGACATGAACGAGCGACAGCTGCCCCAACAACCAAGTGATGTGGCCAACGTAAACAAAGCAACGACTTTTTTTTTCATTTTTAAATACACAGCGATTTCGACGTGACCTGAAGGCTCCTAGGGTTTCTTGAGAATCCTTTTTGGGCTCTTGATTCTTGATCTGTCCTCATGCCTGGAGGCTGGTTTTTCTTTTTCTTTTTTCTTTAATCTCGTTGTAGATTAGGGGTGTCAATTTTTGACACGACCCGAATCCGACCCGGAAAAATCCGCGTTAGGGTCAACCCAGACCCGAAACGGGTTGGGTTCGGGTTGAACAAATCAACCCGTTTTAAAAATCGGGTCGGGTTCGGGTTGACCCAGCAACCCAAATTTGACCCTAAAATGACACGAAATTGACACGAAAACTCCTATTTGACCTGAAAACCCGAGATTGACCCGATTTTGACCCGAAACTAGCAATTTTAGGTCAACTTCGGGTCATTCGTGTCGGGTCGAGTTAACCTAGACCCGAATCGGGTCGGGTTCGGGTCCGGAAACCTGACCCATTTTTAAAAATGGGTCAGGTTCGGGTTGACCCGAACAATGTCGGGTCAGTTTTGGGTTGGACCCGAACCCGACCCGTTGACCCGAATTGACACCCCTATTATAGATTTTTTTTCGTTGAAGGCTTCTACTGAGTTGCAGAATTGGATGGGGCAACTAACTTATCATTCCTCCTTCAAAGATTTTTTTGTATCATTTGTTCCTCTGAATGATAATTTGGCTCTTTTCACGGATGATGATGTCCATAAAGCTTCAAAAATCTGGAGATTAACTTTGGTGGGTTATTCATTAGGCAAGCAACCTTTCTTTGAGGCTTTTGTGTACAATGATGTTGAAAGCCTAGAAGCTCAAAGGTTCCCTTGCGCTTTCTTTTTAAATGATGGTTTTTTTCTTGATGAAGTTTTCTTGTTCGGAAGACTTTGATCTTGTCGGATGGGCGGTCTATGGTTCATTCTTGGAATACCTTTTATTATTCAAAAATGATCTCCTATTTTTCGTTCTAAACGTGAGGAATTTGTCTCAATTCCTCTTTGGATTAAAATATTATATCTCCCCTTGATTTATTGGACTCCCTAGGGTATTTTCAAAAATTGCAAGTTTAGTCGGCATTCCTATTGCGGCTGATTCTCTTACTGCATTGCAATTGCGTCTTACTTTTGCTAAGGTTTTATTTTGATTACCAAGGATTCTACTCTTCCGAATGAAATTAATGATTCTATTGTTGGTAATATTTTTCTTTTAAAGATTATTTATGATTGGAAGCCGGTTCCTTCTGGTTGTGGCTCCATTGTTCATGCTCCCTATCTTTGTCCCTCTAATCCTACATCTTCTCATGTAGAGATTTATTTTTTAAGGGGAAGGAGTCGTAGTCAAGTCTCTAAGAAGGTTTCTTTCAACCTTCCGGTTTCTTTAATTCCTACTTCTTAAGTTAAAATTGCTAATCATCTGGTTTCTTCGGTTCCTCCTTCTAAAGTTAATATTGTTAATAAAAATAGTGTTGTCAATGACATTGATTTGTATTCTTGAAGCTAAAGTTAGTTTGGATATGTTAGAAAATTCATTGTTCTCTATTAGGCATCAGGTGTTTCTAAATGAGAATAGTTGTAACTATTTTAATATGTTTTATCCGGGGAGAATTTGGATCCAATGGAATGCTTTTAGTATTACTTTCTCTCATATTTTTTCTACTAGTCAACTTATTCATAATACTTTGAAGGTTGGCTATGGGTATTCTTTTCTTATTAATGTTGTTTATGCTTCTAACTCTCATGAAGAAAGGAATTCTTTGTGGAATGGTATTCTCAATCTTTCTGCTGAAACTTGAACTCCTTAGGTGTTGATAGGGGATTTCAGTTGTTGTCGATTTACTGAAGACAATTCAGGAGGGAAACATCTTCCAAACAACAAATTGTGGGATTTTAATAATATTATCTTTAATATTGGTGTTCAAGATCTCTCTCGTGTTGGTTATTTTTATACTTGGTTTAACCAAAGAAGTGATTATCCTATTCATATTAAGTTGGACTAGGTTTTGGTTAATGATTTATGACTGGAAGTGTTTCCTTCTTCTTAATATATGTGGATGGACCCTTAATGCTCTGATCATTCCAACCCCCCCCCCCCCCTATTCTCTGTAATAAGAACATGTCCAATATTAAGCATCATTTCATTTTTAAGAATATTCTGTGTTCTAAATCAAAATTTTGGGGTTTGCTTATAGATGTCTTTGCTACTCCTTCTATTGGTAGTCCTATTAATGATTTATATCATAAATTATGCAATCTTAAGTGTAGTATAAAATCCCAGCCATGGTTTCTTGTAAGTTGGTTTCTGATAACATTTTTGAACTTAAGAAGAAACAAAGTATACTGTTGTAGGAGATTCAAAGGTTTCCGTTGGATTTACAACTAAATGCTGGTTTAAGAGAGGTTAATTCTCACATCTTGGATAATTTAAATATCTAAAGCTAAATGGCTTTTTTCTAGTGAGGATGATTTGGGTTTTCTATATTCTAAAATTTGTGTTAGAAATAATTGAAATCATATTAAAGTCACGTCTTCGTCTGAATATTTGATTTCTGATTATAAATTTCTAAAATAATAGATTTCTTCTTTAAAATTTTCCTTAAGTTTAAGTGGTACTTTCCTATCACACAACAAACTCAAAGCATTCCTCCACTTTCACCATCCAAATTGAATTCTACTATTAATATCCCCATCTATTTCACCATCACTCTGAATAATAAACCCAAGATATCTAAAATGAGTACACGTATCAATGACTTGATCGCTCAAAGTCACAAACCCCAAACTAGTTCTATTACTAATAAAATTACACTCGATGTTTTTAGTTTTAGATCTACTCAAACAAAAGCCTTTAGACTCTAATCTTGACCTCCATAATTTGAGTTTACCTTCAACTCCATCTCTAGTATTATCAACAAAAATAATATCATCAGCAAAAATCATACACCAAGGTACAACCTCTTGTAAATGTCTAGTGAGAACATCCATAACTAAAGAAAAAGGATAAGGGCTTAAGGATGATCTTTGATTTAATCCAATTGAAAAAGAAAAATACTTGGTCAAACCACCTTGCATTTGAACACAAGAAATTGCTCTTGTATACATGTCCATAATGACTTGAATATAAGCATTATTAACCCCTTTCTTTTCTATAACTCTCCATAGCACTTCTCTTGGAACTTTATTATATGCTTTCTTTAAATCAATAAATATCATATATAGATCTTCCACATTCTCTCTAAACCTCTCCATAAACCCTCTCAATAAATGAACAACTTCAATAGTAGACCTACCTAGCATGAATCTAAATTGATTTTGAGAAACATTAATATCACATCGTAACTTATACTCCATAACTCTCTCCCAAAGTTTTAAAGTATGACACATCAACTTAATTCCTCTATAATTCGCACAATCTTGTGCAACACATTTATTATTAAAAATAGGAATCAACACACTCTTTCTACAGTCATCTGGCATCTTTTCAGTCTTCAAAATAATATTAAAATGAATGATTAGCCAAGAAATTCCTTCATCTCCTAAGCATTTCCAAAGCTCTATTAGAATATCATCAGATCCACTAGTTTTTCCATAATTCATTTTCTTTAAAGCCTCTTTAACTTCAATTTTACTAATACATCGATAAAAATAAAAATATCTATTTTCATTTAAATGCTAAGGTCACTAAATTCAACTGTATTTTTACAATCTTCATTGAAAAGCTTAGCAAAATATCTCATCCACCTTTGTTGAATATTCTCTTCTAAAGCACTTTTTTATCTTCATTATTAATACACTTTAGTTGAACTAAATCCTTACTACTCCTAACTCTTTATTTGGCTAACTTATACAAATAACTTTCGTCCTCTTTAGAATCCAATTTATTATATAAATCATTAAAAGATACAATCATTACATTGGAGATTATTTTCTTAGACACCTTACGAGCCTCTTTATATATTTCTCAATTTTTAAAGTTTTTACATCAAAACTAGTTATTATAACAAAGCTTCTTATTTTTTTCATATTTTTTTGCACATTTTGATTCCACCACCAACTATTTTTATTATTAGGAGCTCTTCCTTTTGAAACTCCAAACACATCCTTCGCAACATTCTTAATATTATTAGCTACTTTTTCCCACATAACATAAACTTCCTCATGCATAGTCAAAATCTTATGATCTCAAATCTTACTCTAAAAAATATTTTTGTTGGTGTTCTTTAAATGCCCCCGTCAATCTTAAAACATTATTTTATTATATTTTTCATATATTTCCCATTCATCATAAAGTACAATACTAATAAGTGATGTTGGGTACATAAACTTTTACTCATAATAATTTTATAATCTTTGCAATCTAAATTATCTATTTTTTGCAAGAAAATATTCTGAGTTTTAATATATCCATTCTTATAGTGATGAGATGCTCATCTCTTTTCTTAAATAAGGTATTATCATATATAATATATATATTATTATAATATATATATATATATAATATAATTAATTATATATAATATTTATAATATATATATATATTATATATATATATATAATATATAGCTAGAGCTAACTCTAATATATTATTACCACTTCATTAGTCGCTCCGAAATTGATAAACAAGCTTGAATACTTTTAAAATCATCTAGTTCTCTACCAACATGTTCATTTTAATCTCCTGCAATAAAAACTCTTTATTCAAGATTTATCTTTTTGAATTAATTCCTCTAAGTCATTCCAAAATTTTAATTTTAAATACATATCTAATCCTACTTAAGGAGCATAAGTACTTATAATATTAATAATCTTAGCATCGACAATAATCTTTAAAGTAATAATTATGTCTCTAATTCTATTATTTTTAATAATATTATCTTTTAAACTCTT